GCAGAAAAAGGAGACTATTTAGGTCCTGTTGGACAACTGGAAACGTCCCCTGAACACCCATTTGGCCCATGTTTTGCTCATTTCTGATGTGGCTGATAAAAAAGTGAATTGTCCATACTTGGCTTCCACTTTATTTCCTCTGGGGCCTGTCGCCTGCAGATTTCAGTTCCCAGCACCCGCACTGTCTTTTCTAGGAGTTCTAAGGGCATGGATGCCAGGCACACATCATTACGTGTATATATACATGCAAGCAAAACACACATACACATAATATAGTAGTGAGTGAACCTAAACAAATCAGTAAATAAGGGGAGGCTACTAAAGGGCCCCCAGGGTAAAAGTGTTTGCCACACAAGCCCTAAGACCTGAGATTGATCCCAGATCCTGCAGTGGAAGCAGAGAAGAGATTTCTGGAAGTTTCTCTGACCTCCACATATGCTTTGTTGCACAGGCATACCAAACTCACACACACACACACACAGAGAAAAATGCTGTGTTTTTAATTTGGGTTGGTGAGCTGGCTCGGCCAGTAAAGTTGCCTGCCGCCCTGCCTGGCAACCTGAGTTTGAGCCCTGCGATCCACATGGTGAAAGAAGAGAACCAACTTCTGAAAGCTGTCCTCTGAGCTCTATGCCCATGAGCCAGGGCATGCATGCCTTTGCACACACGTGCACACAAAAACAAGCAAACAAACAAATAAATAAATAATGTGATCTTAAAAAATAACTTAGTTTAAAAAAGGAAGTTGAAAAACAATTGAGGAAGACACCCAGCGTCAACATCTGCCTCCACATGCACACACACACACACAGGCACATGCATGTGCAAGTGAACACACACAAGGTTCGGAGGGATGAAACTTTGACAGAAGCAAATTCCCACCAAGGTCATGTATCACGCACACCCTGGTTTTCTGGACTGCCCTCCAGTCTTTCATCCTGACCAGCCCAGGTCAGAAGATCCAAATTCGGTGAACACTACTTCATTCCCTGAGACAAGACTGCTCCAAGACAGACCCTGTCTTCTCCTGTGAATGTCGCAAAGGGACTATATGCTGGATGGTTGGCCATGTTCTCCTAGCAATACTCAGGCAACGCCACCAATAGTCCTTAGGGGAAAAAATGCATGGGAGTGGCCATAATCCAGCCATTTGGAGATTGAGGCCAATTTTGGCTGCATAGTAAGATGGTAGCATTCTTGCCTTGAAAACATAAGGCCTTGGGTTCAAACGCCAGTATTGCTCCCCAGATATCATCTATCCATCTATCATCTATCTATCTATCTATCTATCTATCTATCTATTTATCTATCTATCTATCTATCTATCTACCTACCTACCTATATATCTAACTACCTGTCATCTATCCATAGTCTGTCTTATATCTACACATACATCATCTATCATCTCTGTACATATGTCTACCTATCCATCGGAATAGATGATTTCCATTAGTTCTATTGAATCATAGACAGTGCCCGTTTCTCCTGTCACTTTCACAACTTGCCACTAGGGAGAAAGAAGACAAGAGTGTCCGCTCTCACCTGTGGAGTGACTGACAGTCACCTTGGAGCTGCTGACGCCATCTCTTTCCACCCACACAGAACACTCATATGAAGAGGCAGGACGCAGTCCATCCACGGTGACTCGGGTGTCTGTTGTGTTCCGGGTCTCACTCTGGCCACCATTATTAATGCACACCGCCAAGTAGGTGAGGTCCTGGGAGGAGGAGGAGCCCTCAGGGATGTCCCATGTCAGGCTGATGGAGCTGTTGTCCTGAGCCTCCACCCTCAGGTTTGTCACTGGGTTTGGAGCTGAGAAATTAACAAAAAAGATACAGGCCAGCGTCAGGACAGGGCAAAGGAGGCAGTCAGTGGACACTGTGATTACCAAGTTTTCTAGATGCTCTCAATATTTTGTTGGGGAGATGAACTAGGTCTGGTCCTCAAACAGGGTTTCTGTCCTGCTGGGGTTTCTACTGTTGTAGAAAAGCACCATGACTCAGAGCAACTAGGAGTGGAAAGGTTTAGTTCATCTTGCAGGTTACAGTCCATCCAGAAGGAAAGTCAGGTCCAGAACTCCAGGCAGGAACCTGGAGGCAGGAACTGAAGCAGAGGCCATGGAGAAATGCTGCTGACTAGCTTGCTCCCCATAAATGCCAGCTGGCTTTCATATACAACCCGACACCCCCTGTGTGGGGAATGGTACCACCCCCTGTGGGCAGAACACTCACACATCAATCAGTCATCAAGAAAAAGCCTCACAGGGCAATGTAATGAAGGCATTTTCTCAATTAAACTTCCCTCTTCCCGGTGACTTTCTCTTATGTCAAGTTGACAAAACTAGCCAGTACAGTCTCACAAGGTCCCAGTTGGCTTCATACTCTCTATGTAGCCAAGGTTACCCTTCACCTTCAGATCCTCCTATCTATCTCTATCTCCTAAGTGCTAGCATCACACCTGGGTATCAGTGTGCTGGCCTAGACCAGTAGTTCTTGAACTTCAAAAATATATAACCAGAACTGCTTGATCACTCAGATTCACTTTCTGTAGGTGAGAAATAAAGCATCCCCAATCAGCTATAGGGAAATGCTGGTGCTACCAACATGTCCATCATACTGAATATCAAGATCTAGACCAGACCTTTCCAAATGCTGTCTGTGATGAGGACCATGCCTTCCCAATCTCCTATGTGACAAGCACCATCAAATTCAAACCAGTCTGGACAACATATTGAGTTCCAAGCCAGTCTGGGAAACATAGGGACATGTTATCTCAAACGTGAACAAGGGCCTGGGGAAGTTGCTCATCTGATGAAGTACTTGCCATACAATCACAAGGAGCTGAGTTCCATCCCCAGAACCCACATGAAAAAATGACAGGACAGCTCACACCTGTCACCCCAACTGTGGAAACCAATGTGGGAAGAGAGGATCTGGTCTAAGTGGTGAGTGCATGTCTGAGTAAGAGACTCTGTCTCCAAATCAAGGTCAGTGACTCTGAGGAACCACATCTAACTCTGACTCCTGGCTCTGAACAAACACTCACACACAGGAGTGTGCACACACATGATCCACTGTTACACATGAATGA